TGTTAGTAGTAGGAAATAGGCATAGTGTGAAGCGACTGAAAAAGAAAAAAAGACATTTATTGTCCATTTTCAGCTGTATTCTCGGGTAATTTTGTTACTTAACAAAGTCCTAAGCGAGTTTTCTATCGCTACTAAGGCGTAAGTAATCATTAAGATGTGTCCAAGTACACCAGTGTTTAAAATCTAATTCAAAGCTTACATAGATCCGAATACAAACACTTCTGAGTCCTCAAAATAGAACTGTCCGCCAGACTGTCTGTCAGTGAAGCTATGCTCGTTCAGCGATGTAGATTCCTTTGGAGAAGAAAGAGCAAGAAACTCCTTGGTTAGTCTTTTTTTGCGTACAATCTCGTATGTGGCTGTTGACAGAGTAAAAACTTTTGTTTCGAACAATATTCTTTTTAGTTTGAACGCTGTAATGAAGGAAGTATTTTTAGGATAGGTATTAATAAATATACTGAAGTATACTAGCCTAAAAAAGACTCTATGGGAATTCAAACAGGAAAGGGTCTTATTGCGAAAATCCAAATACAATCGCGTAATAAATTACACATTGAAGTTGAGAACAAAAAACATCTGTTTCACCCAAAATCGAGGGAAACGAAAGATATTTTGAGAGTTTAAACCAGGTGGTACGGGCGTTCGGAAGTGGAAAAAAATATAGAGGGGTGGATCTAAGGATCATATCCGCCGGAACAATCCGATTTTATCTACGGTAAGTTTTTGAGGAAAGTGTAATAGGACACTTGGTTTCTGAAGTGGTTTGATTGGCAGTTTACAGAGTAAGTCTTTTATTATGTGGCTTTTGAAGTGTCTGCATCATGATTAGCCTTTTGCCTTTTGAGCAAAGGCCTCTTCGCAAACGGAGAAGGTTTGAGCATTAACCGCCAGGTTTGCTCAAAGCGGATTGTTGATTTCAAATTTTGAATTAGGAATTATGAGTTCAGGTTTTCTAACGATGTTTTTTTTTTCTTTTAGTTGCTAGTGTTATAATTAAATAATACGTCTTGTTGATTCTAAATTCAGTCAAATTGATTGGCTATTGTTTTTTCGGTCCGAAAAATTGTGGCACTTATTTAATATTTTTAAATCCAAAATGTCTTGCATGTTGCTTCGTAATGTTTGCGATGCATAGTCAGGTTTTTGGATTCACATCCGAGTGTGACATTTCAAAGTTTAAAAGTGTCGAAGCATACATTTTCGCTTTACCGGTAATCGGTTAAGAAATAATTTCATATTAGGAGACTCATTAGTGAAGTAAGGTACTAATATTTTTCACGTTAATTTTCCTGAAATGTTCGCTTATTGTTTACAGTAAAATAAATAAATCTATCCACTATTAAATGGATGTTATTATACATATCAAACTTACTTTTCAATCACTCTGTCTTGTATAAAAAGTTCATCAAAATCCGTTGCGTAGTTTTAAAGATTTAAGCCTACATACTGAATGATATAGGGACAGAGAAAGCGACAATGCTTTATACTCTGTTCTATTCTTATGAAATAGCAAAAAAAGTCGAGCTACTTTTAGCCCAAAAAAGTTTTCTAATAAGATGGAAATGTCTTTCTTTTTGATTTCTAAACAGCCCAAAATATCCGCAACACCGTCCCTTTTCGAATATAAAAAACTCATTACTATTTATATAAAATAAATGACCCTTCCTTTAAAAGTAACTTTGATCCCCTTTCTTATTAATAGGCTGACCCAAATACCTACAGCTCTGCATACCCTCTGTACACCCCAATCGTACATCTGTGTTTATTATCACATGTTCTCAAGGGTATCTGTAATAAAATGGCCATTGTTCGATCCAAGTTGTAAGGGGCAGAGTGCTTGGGGAGCGAAATTCTTTGCGATCAAAATTGTTGCCACTTGGCACCGGAGTTAGGAGCGTTCAATAATCCCTTTCTGATAATGGAATTGGATCGCTTTTCGCGATATATTTTTGTTTATGCTTGCTTCATTTGGTCTGGGGTTGTTGTTTTTTTTTTATGTCTGATGAGTTTAGGGCTGTTGGGCTGAAGAATTGGATAGGTTTTGTTAGTTAAAAATAAATTACTTTGACTATTGAAAAATTATCACAATTATGACCTTCACAAACCTTCAAGAAACGAGCGTACTTACTTTTATATGTCCGACTAGCTACTCTCGCACGGTTTCACCCGCTGCTCAGCTCCATTTGATCGTAGCGTGATGTTTTATAGCCTATAGCACTCAGGAACATTGTAGCTGTCTATCAGTGAAAGAATTTTGGCAATCCGACCAGCGGTTCCAAAGAATACCCCCTACATACAAACTTACAAATTTTACCGCTTTATAATATTAGTATAGATAACGCGCCTCTTGAGTCTGTGACTCCTCTGGTGTTACAGGTGTCCATGGGCGGCGCTGATCGCTTACCATCAGGTGATCCGTCTGCTCGTTTGTGTCTTAGACCATAAAAAACACTAATATATTGATTTTGCGATATAGGGAGCTTCACTAGAGGACAGACGGACAGACTGACACGTCTAAAGTTAAAGCTCTTCAAATACTTTTTTTTTTGCTTCACGTTCTAAACTGCCTACTGTGGTCTAATTGCAATAAATGATTTAGACTTTGACTTTGAGGTATGCGTATTCCTAATTTTAAGGCAATTTTTCCAGCAATAAGTATTCTATTTGACACAAAAAAAACGTGACGTGACTGCACATGATACCGCAAGAAAATCAGGGACAACCGACGATTTTTACAATTAGGAAAGACTATAGCATTCAATTCTTTTTTTCAAGGGAAAGAAAACTGTCGATTGTGACAATTCCAAAAGAGTATTGAATTTGATTAATTGTCTCAAGTACTTCCACAATTGTGGGACAGACATTTAAAAATGACATTTTATTATCATTACACGAAAAATTATTCGCTAAATTGAACGCGCTCGTGTCACGTTACGTCACTTCCTGTGTAAACGGATGTGACACGTGCTCGCCCCCCTAGCTTGTCTATGGTTTAAGTATTATTTGATAGGGGTCGCGTTCAAAGTATTGTTTAATTCTTTTTTTTGTGACTTGATTTCTCTTTTTTTTTTTTGTTTTGTGATATTCGGTTGAGCTAGGATGTGTTTTGAAAATGACTTACTTGAATTAACTCTACTAGTTTTAAGTCACAATGGGTCTTCTTATTAATTTGCAGTATGCTAGTATGTCCCACATAATAGTTACTATACAAATGTCGTTACAATGTTAGTTCTAATTGGAAATGGAAGGACTGGGCCTCCGGTAATCTCCCTCCTCACACGGCGAGACACAAGACTGTGGTTTTTTCAAGCTGGTCGTCTGTGAGGCCGTGGTACCACTCTGGTCGAGCCGACCCATTCGTGCTGAAGCATGGCTCTCCCACATTTATCATTTAAACACTTAGGATAATACAAATTTAATTTTTACCTTTATAAATTGAGATTATAGGTAACTATAAAGGTTCTTATTTACATACTTATAGATTTAAAACCGCTTTCATTGTTAATACAAATATCTCAATGCACTCCTGCTACATAAAAAAACCATTTAATTAAGTAGTCCCGCTCCAAAATTGTAATTAAAGAAAATATCCCTTGAGCATCGGCTGCGCTAACGCAAGCTGCGCACTGCGCACATCTGCTGCGCAGGTGACGCGACGCCATTTTGAAGTTATTGCCGAGGGTTGTTATAATGGCTGGTCGAAGGGGAGCCGACAAGAAATGCATTGTCATTCTAGTTGCTTATACTTACATATTTTTCAAGAAATTACTTTACTATACTGAGTTTTTAGATTCTGAGGTATTTTTTTTTAGTTCTTTGGGTAAATTTTAGTGGTGCACTGTCCTAACATACATTGGGAAATTGATTTTAAAAGAGTAACGATGGAGTTTCTTCCTCGTTCTTCTCCATAGGAATCTATACTTTGGAACGAGCAAATTGCTTCACTAAGACTGACATTTTTTATCGTTATATCTTTGTTTTACGCACGTTTAAAAGTGTCTATAGTTACATAAATGATTAGAATTTATCTTCTAATGTTATCTATACTAATATTATAAAAAGAGGTAAAATTTGTAAGTTTGTATGTAGGGGGTAATCTTGGGAACCGCTAGTCAGATCGCCAGAATTCTTTCACTGATAGATAGCTACAATGTTCCTGAGTGCTATAGGCTATATAAGTAACATCACGCAACGATCAAATGGAGCTGAGCAGCGGGTGAAACCGCGTGAGAGTAGCTAGTTTGTGATAAAACCATAGTTTTGTTAGAAAGGTACTAACTACTTTTAGGTTAAAGTAATGATAATTATGAATATACATTACGAAATAATAGTGTAACGTGTAAAAGCTACAAAATCTTTTAACGAAGTAATTGGTTCTTTTGGTACCTCATCATCATCAGCCTATAAGTGCCCACTGCTGAGCAAAGGCCTCTTCTCACACGGAGAAGGTTAGAGCATTAATCACCACGCTTGCTCAATGCGGGTTGGCGATTTCAAACTTATAATTATAAATTATAAGTCCAGGTTTCCTCACGATGTTTACCTTCACCGTATGTCAGTGGTGTCTAAATAATCATAGAAAGTACATATAACTCTGAAAAAGTCACATTGGTACTTGCCAGGTTTCGAACCCACACCCTCATGCATGAGAAGCGGGCGCCTTAACCTCCGGGCCACCACGACTACTTTTGGTACCTGAATTGGTGTAAATATTTTTCTATTATACGCTCGAGTTATGCGTTTCAAATTGTTCGTTCGTTTGCGTGTTCTGTTGTTTATAGGTTAACTAGCGATCTGCCCCGGCTTCGCACGTGTGGTTTCCTAAACCTTACGATGTTTTCCTTCAGTGGATGTCTGAATAAACTCGGAAAAACCGCACCTTCTAACATGAAAAGCCTTAATTTACGGCCCACCGCAACTTCTCTCTGCCAACTCTTAAAATTAAATAATCTCCAGCTACCCAGAACTCCAGAACTAAACTCTCATTTCTCTTGTTACAGCACCTCGGACATCATGCACAGGAGGAACACCGAACAACCTTCCGCCCCTGGGATTCCATTCCGTCCACGGCGAAAACGTCAGGGTCTCAAGGGACGGTTCCATGGCTCGTCGTGTGGAGTCCTTCTGCAAGGGGGTCGCCTTCAGTGCTAGACCTGTCAGGGTTAATGAGAAGGTAGGTTTTTGGTCTGGTTTGAAGTAGTAAGCAGTTTTAAAGAAATGTTACACTTTACTGTCTTTTATAAGACAATATCGAAAAAACATTGTGTTTCGGTTAGATCTGTGCTCGATACCACGTTAATAGATTCATATTTGATCCATTATTTCAGTAAACAGTTGATTGGCATTTAATTTAAATCTTAGAAGTAATACCTTCCTTACTTTCTCCTAATATAGTTGAATATGAGCTAGCGATTATAATCATTAGTGTTGAAGAGGAACAGCAATATAAAAAAACGCATCTCTCCATTTCCAGGTGTGCCTACGCTTCGTCGAGATTTCAAACAGTTGGAGCGGAGTTATCAGATTCGGGTTCACAAACCATGACCCCGCCACCCTCGCGCATGCCCTCCCAAAATACGCCTGCCCCGACCTCACGAACAAACCAGGCAATTGGGCCAAAGCTCTCGGCGAAAGATTCTGCGAAAAAGACAATATTCTCTACTATTACGTCAATTCTTCGGGAGACGTTCATTTCGGTGTGAACGGGCAAGATAAGGGGCTGTTCTTCTCAGGAGTCGATACGCGAAGCCCTCTATGGGCCCTAGTAGATGTTTACGGGAACTGCACAGCTGTTCAATTTGCTGATCCACGAGCCCCAAGTCAGAGAAGGCATAGTCCGGTTGAGGAAGATAGACTAGTAGGAAGCATGAGGTCTTTAACCATGGAGGAACCTCTCCCGCCTCCAAGATACCAAAATCCCTTAGTACCACTCAGTCTACACAGAACTAAAGGAAGAAATGTCCAGTTTATTAACGACAGGGGTATTGCGGCAAGAGCTGATGCAGAGTTCTGCCAAGGATACGTCTTCACAGCTCGTCCTATGCGTCCAGGACAAACTATTGTAGTCCAAATCCTTGCTACGGAAGCAGCGTACGCTGGCAGCTTAGCTATCGGTCTTACTTCTTGCGATCCAGCGACCTTAAGACCATGTGACTTACCTGATGATGCAGAATTACTTCTCGATCGTCCAGAATATTGGGTGGTAAGACGGGACGCTGCGAATGGTCTTCGGAGAGGAGACGAACTAGCTGTGACCCTCACGTTAGATGGAGAGGTCCGCGTCAGCAGGAATGGATCCACTCCGGTCACAGTTATGCATGTAGACCATACTCTAAGGTTATGGGCATTTGTCGACATCTATGGAGCTACGCAGAAAGTGAGGATGCTCAGTACTCAAGTCGTTCAGCAAGCTCAAACTCCTCCACAGCAATTGAGGGTTTTAACAGGATCTGCGCCTATTAATACGGGGGCCGGTGGCACTGTCCTAGTAGTTAGTCTGCCACCTCAGAATGGAAGCCAGAATGCAAATAATCAACAGAGCTTGACCCTCGCGAGTGCGCATTATATTGAGGTAGGTTGAAACAATTTATTACTTTTTTAAATATGTGATGAAGAATTTTCGCTATGTTATAAGTCCCATAGAAATATACGGAAGCTATCCTATAACAATATGCAATAAAGCACCACGGCCCTGGCCTGGAGCAGAAGAAGGAACGGGGTGGTTTTTTGTCAGTAAGAGTCTGACAATCCCTCTCGCCTCACCCTGGGCTAAAGAACTCTCTCTTTGATGATTTTTCCCTTAAAAAAAGCTTCTAACAATATACCTGCAAAGCTTCAAGGCACTAATCATTTCTATTCTTCTTTCCAGCCCATCCAAACGACATCACAGCTCTGTCTCACAGGACTACCAATCAACCAACCGACAACCTGCAACTATCAACCACAACCACAACCGTCCCGGCCTCGGCCAGACAACCAGTGCTCATCAACCAGCCAAAACAACCTGAACGAGCAAGCACAACTCCCCAACGGTCACTCAGAACCCCTAAGACTCGCAGATAGATTGCAAAATGGTCCGTCGACCAGTAGGCATCAACCACTCTATTCCGTTATTGGCGAAGGTGGGGCAACCGGGAATCTGACCGGAACGGAATGCACAATTTGCTACGAAAACCCTATAGATTCTGTGCTCTATATGTGTGGGCATATGTGCATGTGTTATAGGTGCGCAGTCCAACAGTGGAGAGGTAAAGGCGGTGGACAATGTCCCCTATGCAGAGCGCAAATTAAGGACGTCATCCGAACATATAAATCCTGATATGTTAGTTGCCAAATTCAATGTTTTAATCCAAAAATTTGTATATATCAGGTTAGTAAGGTTAGATAAACAGATTCTAGTACTGAAACGAAAATGGGGTGATATTGATACCAAGGTCATCTGTTTCGTTGGTAGAGTTTCAGTGCAAGAAGTTTCTGTTTAGAAATTAATATATGATTAATAATAATAATAATATATACATATAATGCGTTTCTGGTTATTTATTTTGCGGCGGATGTAATTTTTGGAGATATGATTGCATTGTACACATTTTTGGCGATACAGCGTAACAAGAAATTTTGATTTTAAACTCTATATCTTTATAAAAGTTTTGGGATTCGTTTGGTGAATGAATTATTGGTATTGGTTGACCTGCTGGCCAAGTCTGGACTTTACTTGACTTATAATTGTTAATATTTAATACAAAAATAACGGACTTTCGTATGATTTTGGTCTCTTATGACGGTTAAAACACTTTTTACGATATTTCGTCTCGCTTCGTCTGATAGGTTTATTAAAATATTCGATTTGTATTTTTCTTGCAGTAAAGTCTGTCCTGTCATCCTTATTAACTTGAAACTATACATATTTCTTCTGACTCAATTAATACAATACATGTTAATTAAACCAAGTGACTGTTCTGAAATGCCATAGGAAATTCATCCTTATTTACTTTAAAGTAAGTATACATATTCCGTCTGACTCAATAAATAATTATGGTAATAAGAGCTGATTTTTCAACGGTTAGATAAAAGTTACATGTGGAATAATTATGATGCAGTCGCTTCAGAATGTTTATTTAAGACAGTGACAGTAACAATTTTATTCGTCAGATAACATTTATCGGATTTTGAAAAATCAGCCCTTAAACTACTTTAAAAAAAACATGATTATTAGGAACCGGGACTTAACATTTTAGAGATATTTTTTATGGATTTAGAGTGACGGCATACAGCTTAGCATTTATTGTCAAGCAAACTAAACGAGTATACAGAAGTTCGGCTCAATCGGTTGAAGATATCTGCTTAAAAATTTAGTTGCAAGATTCCATTTTACAAACCTACAATCATCGCGAAGGCGCGCGTTTTCGTCCGAATTCGCTCGTACAATCATCGGGAAGTCGCGCGTTTTCGTCCGAATTCGCTCGTAAAATCATCGCGAAGGCGCGCGCTTTCGTCCAAATTCACTCGTCGCACGCCGCAGTTAGACTTGGAAGGAATATGTATAATACCCTCCGGATATAAGGTTGATTTTTCTGTGACTTTTCATTATTGACGCTGTAGTGATATTTGACTTTTTGCCAACATGAATTGACTCTTATTGACCAATGATTAATGTGATTAGTTTTGAACGTCAAAATAAGTGACTATACATGAAACAGACGTTTTTCCTAGTATTCAAAGACGTTAAAATTTATCAAAGAAAACTTATTTTGAAAAAAGAACTTTTAAAATATTTTATTCTTCTAAAAACAAACCAACATAATTTTTTCACTTATCCTATGTCTTATTGCTAAAGGAATAGGAATCAAAATTGATTTTTTGTAGTTTTTTTTTTTAATTCGGCCCCAATTAGTATTTAGAGCGAGGCTATGTGGTATTGTAAATATTGTAGGTATTTTAAGTATAGGATCTATATAATAATATTAAATATACAATATATTCTAAACCGTCTGTCTGATCCGTTAATGTCAAATGTGTCAATGTCAAACACCATGTGATTGTCAAAATAATTTATTGATTTTTTTTCTAATTTTTGGTTGTAGAACATCTTTTCAGTATATTCGGATCGGATAGAGGTTTTTTTTTAAAAATTGTGTAAATAATTCGAAAGAAACTTTGCCTTAAACTTTGTGTCCGTTTGGATTAAAAAAAAAATAACGAGATTTTCGAAAGACGGTTATTATAATTTATTTTCCAAAATTAACGTCTTGTTGTTATGTAAAATGGATAATTAGGAATTTGGACATACATAATTAAATAATTTGTTTTTGTAATTATTAGCGTATTTAAAAATATACTTACACCATTTTATTTTATTATAGAAATATTGGTACTTTTTTCACCAAAGTAACATAACAACGTTATTTGAAAAAATATTGAAATCACCGATAGATGTCGCTCATCATTTTTCCCAATAAATTTTAGTAACAAAACCTCTCCATAGATGGCGGTCATCTAAATTTATTCAATAGGGCACAAAACTTTAAGAAACATAAAGGATAAACGATTATATGTACGTCCATGACACTATTATAGGCATTTAATAATTATTAATTATTGTAATCATATCATAATCTTTAATTATTAACGTGTGATTGGTCTGCAAATGATGATGATTGTCCAGTTAACTGATGGTAGCGAGGTTCACTGTCCAGTGACACACGTACGCTGGTATCGTCATGAGCTAATGTTGACATGTAAACAGCGACTCATGTAGTGTAGAGATTGTCCAGTCAACAGATGGTAGCGAGGTTAACCGTCAAAGCTGCAACTGTCATCATCATATTACGGGCTAAAAAGTCCAAAGACAGTCTACTATTGAAGCCAGTTAATAAATAAATAATAACATTTCTATAACGTTAAACTATCAAAAAAAAAAAACAGTTGTATTCTATTTAAAATATGGACGTTCCGAAAATTTGATGTTTTCTTAGTAAAAACCGCTGCGGTCGGTCTCTGTTCTTCACAATACCCAGGATTATTAAGGGTGGTGAGAAATTAATATTTTAAATAGAATATAAGTGTAAAAATAATGCTAGATGTTCTTATTATTCTAAAAGAAAACGGGAGTTCCTAAAAACGCCTCCAAACTATTTTCCTTATAAAATACGTACGATCGGGAATTTAGCTTAAATGAAGCCGGTAGATCTACCAAAGCTACCAAGCTGTATTGCCAGTGTTAAATTTCATTGATTGTCGGTAGAAAATCTTGTGGACGCGTTTTTCAATTTTCATAACGACAATAGTTTTACTAAGCTTTAAATGAAGGATGTTTTTTTTTTTGAAGTTAGTGTTGCTTAGTTAGTCAGTCTAGTTAGATACAGTTCAATTTTAAATAATGTATATATGGTTCTTGGTAGGTGCCTTTCGATACTAATAGTTTTGTATCGCTGTACACAATAAACGAGATATATATCAATCTCGGAATCATCGTCTGATGATCATGATCGATTATTGAAGATGTAAAATCGCTGTGTAGTGTGAAGCGATGGCCCAATAATAAAATCAAATAGACCTTTTTTAAAACTTGAGAATTGCTAAATATTGTATTGTAAATGTCTTGTTTGACTTTGAAGACATTAAAATTCTGCCTATCCAATGTTTATCATTCCTATAATGCTCAATCGTATGAAGCAATTATTCACATATCATTTTTATCATATTGTATGTCTACTTTTTGTGTTAAATATCCGTGTGGAATACCTTTAGAACTATTCTCAACGTACGTGTATATTGATTACTGGAAGTTGTTGATTTTGTTCAAGAGATGGCGCTAGTGCGCTTAGGTTTTAACCTTATCCTATTAATTGGTCAAAAAATAAGGTTTTTTATGACCTTTATATGAGAATGATTTCCAGTAGTCAATATAAGTGAAGTAATGAAAATGGTTCTAAGTTAACGTAATCACAGTAAATGCATTTATTTGTAAACAAAACATATCTTTTTCGTCTTCAGTTAATTTTGTACTGAAAACTCTTTTCTATGACTCTTTTTTTCTAACTTTTTTTTTCAAGTTTGACAGATCAGTCGATTTTTTAAACTTCGAATTCATTTTCAAAACCTTTTTTGTAAATAGTTTGACCATTCCTTGATTACCACAATTAAAACCAAACGTTAAGCCAGTTTCGTTCTTTTTTAAATAATTTAATTAATGCAATTAACTTTAATTATGTCTTTAACTGATTTTTGTGTATTATTGTACAACCGTGTATCATCACATTAGGTAACACTCTTATGTTTTATGTAATAAGAATGATTTTCTAATATCAATGTGTTACTGCTCCGATTTGCAGTTGATGGGCGCTGTGTTCAATTGTCAATTTATAGATGCCAAAATGCAGAATGCTATCCCCACAAACAGATTTCAACCTTAACACCATAGATATTGAAGTTAAAACTCGTCGAACGCAGCGCTAATCTTATTTATTAACTCATAAGACATTTTTTTTTATAATAAATAATAATTTAATACCAAAACAAGGTGACCAGTTTGAAAAAAATAAGCAAAACAGACTATTAAAGCCAAATCTTTTAGTATTTAGTGGAAAATTTGTATATAAAGTATGAATGAGTGTTTTAATGTAAAACTGGGAGAGTTTATATTATGTAAAAGTAATTGGAAAATTGACGAAATGTTTGTGTATTGCTGGCACTTTGATTGTCTTAAAGATGTTACGTTAATATGCAAATATTTTGTCGTTATTTTGTCTCTGTTACTCTAATTTTCCGACCAAAATTAATAATGTGTTAATTCCGAGGCAAATTTAATAAATACTACACATTAAAAAACCAATATAGTCGATTGACAGTTTTTTGCGCGGGAAATGTCATTCATTTCAAATCAAATTCTTTTTTTTTTCTAATTCTTTCTCAGTTCTACATTAATGAATGCGGCCAAGTGCTATGTGATATCGTGTTTTTTTTTTTTAATATTTTCCAAAACTTGGTCATGTACAGCATTGTCGTCTAGTCTTTAGTAATTTATTTTTCTTTTTTTTATTATTATTATTATTTTGTGAATCAAGCACTCAGTAATGATGTTGGAGATTAGATTAAGTTTGAAATAAAAATGGTTATCGAACATTTTTATGTGTTTTTATTACCCTTGCAAAACTACTAAAAAATTTAAAGAACAAGAAAATACTGATGGTATAAAATTTATACTATTATCATAAAGAGGAAAGTGTTCTTGGACTTATTTGAAAAATTCTTTTACTCTTGGTAAGCCATACTAAACCCTATGAACATAGTCTATAAACTACGCAAATTACAAAGCAAATTTACAATAAATCTTATTATTTTTATCTTAATGCTCACTTAAAAAGCGACCCTCACAGTGAGTGTAATATGCTTACAAGCATTCTTAATTTAAAAACGAATCAAAATCTGCTTAGACAGTAATATGTTTTATTATTGAAACGGATAAGTAGTTTTATTTGATACTAGCAACACTTTACTATTAGCTTCTACTAGCGTCATCTAGTAACAAGGTGTAGAACTACGTAGGGCATTTGCTAAAGATTATAATTTCATTTATACTTTGCATGACTCATTTATAATAATTAATTACGCTACTTAGATTAGCAATGATCATAAATTCTAATTAATATAAAAAATATGACGTATAGACTGAAACTCTTATAATATTTTTCTGAACGATAAATAAATACGACGCTTCATATTGAAAAATTGGTCCAATCGTGGTACGTTTAACTGTTACATTGTAAACTAATCAATATAATCCTTATCGTAACGAAATAAAGCATTAATTTCAACAACAACAAAATACAATGCAATATCCAATGCGCGTACGTGAAGCTTGAAGTAGTGTTGTATAAGCGGTATTTATTGTGTACACAATCGATTGTGAACAAACCGATTTGTAATTATTAAATCGGCAATCGTTATTAGGGTAGATGAAAATGAAATATGGTATGGTATCATATAGAAAACAAATAAGTACATGTAGTTTACTTATATTGAATTGCAGTCATTTGTCATTTATTTAACCCGGCATCGTCATCGTCATCATCTTAATAATCTAGCCATTACTTTACTTTGCAATCAACTTAATAAAATAGGCCATTTAATAATTTACTTTCGATCAAAATACGTATCTATTTAAGTAAAAATTACGAATCATTAATATTATGAATAAATGAGTTTCATTAAAATAATTGAAAACACTTTTTAATTAATGTATTGTATTTCATTTGAACAAGAAACAAATACAAGATAGAATATTTTAATGAGAATAATTTAAACTAACATTAATGATGTTAGTTTAGCAACGAATTAAAAATAAGTAATTTTACCAACTAAAAGAATCGATAATCGAAATGTTACCAAAGACGAATGAGTCATCGCATTCAACAATCGGTTCGACGAACGAAACGCGGCGTGCTCCCGTCACTACACAAAGAGAACTTGTTATTATTATACGGATGTACCATAACCTTTTATTTTCATGTTTCGATATAATTTTAACTAAGAAACAACAAAAATCAAAGTGAAACGCCATTAATGTGAACTAAATAACATCTTTACGGCCTGTGGTGTGTGTAAAAACAGCAAAAGGTCAGTGTTTCATTCAAAATAAGTACATATTAATATAATTAGATCAAACCGATGTATGCCCGTATGCTGTTATTTCATGAGAAGTCTTATTGTTTCTTGCATTTATGAATTACAACGCCATTTTGTAGCCCCTACAAGCTATTTATGTGTTAATTTCGCGAAGTTTTGTGTTAATATATCGGAGTATTAGACTTGTGGTGTTATGATTATTCTGTGTTGATTTTTTACGAAGCGTCTTTTTCTGAACGTGTGTTTGTGGATAAATGTTTGTATTTTACTGTTTTCTGTACGATTTGGTTTGTTTTATGCTTGTCTCTGTAGTATTTTGTATATGAGCCACGCTTTAAAATTTAATTGACACGGAACTTAATATGTATGATTCATAATTTCGTAACATTTTTCTATGAAACCGCTATCCGTCGCCGTGAATAAGTTGTTTGTAAAAAAAACAATGGCAGGAAACTACTTTCATTTAACATCGATCTAAATGTTCACTTTATACGTATTACTGTTACATACGTTCACTTTAAATATTTATTTTCGAAACATAACAAAATAATGTTTAGCCACCATGATTTTCGCGCAAAAAAAATCGGAAGACGGAACGTGTGAATTTGAAAATAGAATAATTTACCCTACCTTTTGAAACTTTTTTTATTCATTCAACATGCAACCTCCTTTTTGATTTAATAAAAATATAGTTAATAGTTATAGAATTCTTAACACATGGAGTTTAATTATTAATCATTAGTAAATGTGGCTAAATAGCCTAATTAAGTAATGTACATAGCTAATTAATTATTAAAATACATGTAATAATGAAATGACTGCGATTAATTTACTTAAAATCATAATTATTAAGATGGATAGTAGTGAGATGGCTAATGAACAAGACAGTTGTGTGTGCATAAAATAGTGATCAATTGATAAAAATATTATTGGCTAAAAATGAGTGAACAAAAAGATATTGGCAGACATTTACATGCAGATCAGGTACTTAAACATTTAATTTTTGACTTGGATTTTTTTGATTTCACACATAAAACCTCTTTACATAGTATGGAAAATAAAATTGTCCCTGGTGTATGAATATTATAAGTGTGGGATATCCATGCTTATAAGAAAACCTGGATGTACAATGTCTAAAATATATGTTTCGAGCAACATTGTGATTAATACTCAAACCTTCTCCGTGTGAGTAGAGGCCTTTGCTGCACAATGGGCACTTATAGGCTGATGATGATGTTTTTGATTAGTTGTTTTTAGGGAAATAAATAAGGGCACAAGTTTTTCTTTAAGTTTTAATACTTATAATAATATTTGGGTTGATATAAACATTATACCTACTTATGTATAAAACATCACTTTTTCTGTCCCTTTATCCCTATGTATGCTTAAATCTTTAAAACTATGCATTGGATTTTGATGCGGTTTGTTTAATAGATAGAGTGATTGAAGAGGAAGGTTTATATGTGTAACTATAACTCTCACGTGGTTTCACCCGCTGCTATATAGCCTATAGCACCCAGGAACATTGTAGCTATCTATCAGTGAAACAATTTTGGCAATCCGACCAGCGAGCGGTTCCAAAGATTACCCCCTACATACAAGCTTACAAATTTTACCTCTTTATAATATTAGTATAGATATCATCCATTAAATAGTGGATAAATTTAGTTAGCATTGCAACCAAGCAACAAGGAAGTGGGTTTCTAGTATGATATAAGTGAAGTTTTGTATTTGAATTGATTTAGGTATGCATGTTTTTTATTACAAGGCTTTTTGCCATTTTTTAAAATGAAAAAACATTGCCCCACACTTTGAATTCCTCCTGTGTCATGGGTGCGTTTATAAACATACAAATTCTCATACACATGACACCCCAACCCGAAACAACAATTTGTGGATTACACAAAGTGTTGTTCCGTGCGAGCCAGTTGCCCAGCCACTGCGCCAACCGTGCAGTCAGTCAGTCTATTTTAGCAAGCTGAACTCACCCATTGTACTTGCAAAAAATATAATACATAAAGCATAATAATTATACAAACAACTGTTCATATAAACGCAATATAGTTTCGGTGCTGCACCCTGGAACAGGTGAAAGAAAGGATGGTTTTTACTTTTTAGCTAGTATGAGTCTGACAGTCCTTTGCCATTCTTTTTGTCTAGTAAAATTAATTTAAGTAATGACTTCTCCCGCCCTGTGTGTGGCGTGAATGAGTGAGTGACAGACTCTTACCGACTAAAAAGCACCCTGTTCCTTCTCCTGCTCATGATCACGACCGTGGCACTTTATTACGCTTACACACACAACCCGGGCTGAATCTACTATCACCTATCAATTTTACTAGAAATCCCAACCAAATATAAACTTTAAATTTACAGATGTTCTGCGTCCAAGAAAAAGAAAGAGCATCGTTCTCATCAGACAAAGATCCTTTGAGCATGACCCAAACAGACTCCGAGGATGAGGAACCGGAGGCAAAGAGGCTAAAATACTCCCCGTTAAACCTCCAAGTATACCAGATACCAACGTTCAACACACCGAAGTCACTATCCATATACCCAACGAATACATTACCTAATTTTGTTAATAACCCCCTAAATCTAGCCAATCCGCTGTCCTTCGCTACAACGAGACCTCAAAACGGTGAAGCTTTGGTCAAAAATCTGCACAACAGATATTCTTTGCCGGCCAAGTTGACTATAACTCCAGTTGTGAACGGTGAGGTGGTACGGTATAAGAAGAATGGTGAAGTGGCCAAGAAAAGAGGCCCCCCCAAGGGGTACAAGAGGAAACCGAAGCCAGAGAAGCTGGAATTGTCGCAGAGTTTTAATGGGACTTTGCAGGTAATTATTATTATTGATTATTTAAAAAGTAGAATTTTTTTTATTTTTATTTAATAGGTCGGCAAACGATCAGACGGATTACCTGATGGTAAGCAATCAGCGCCGCCCATGGACACTCGCAACGGAGGAGTTACAAGTGCGTTGCCGACCTTTTAGGGATTAGGGATTTGGAGATTTAGGGGTTAAGGAGGGATTGGGGGAGGGGAAGGATTGGGCCTCCGGTAACCTCACTCACACGGCGATACACAACGCTGTGGTTGTTTCGCGCCGGTTTATTGTGAGTTCGTGGCATCATTCCGGTAAAACCAACAGAGTATTGCAGAGCACTTAAAGTATAGCATAACTATGCTATACTTTAAGTGTGGAGAGCCATACTTCGGCACGAATGTGTCAGCTCGATCGGATTTATACCACGGCCTCACAGAAAACCGGTGTGAAACAACCACAGCGTTCTGTTTCGCCGTGTTAGGTTACCGGAGCCCCTATCCTTCTTCCATTTACCCGTTAATCCCCAAATCTCCTATACTTAAATCCCAAATACCAACAAAAAGGCCGGCAACACTCTTAAAATAATTCCTTTGGTGTAACGAGTGTCCATGGGCGGCGCTGATTGCTTACCATCAACTCGTTGACAACGAAAAATTGATGATGATAAAAACGTCTTTTTCCAGTCAACTACACTACAGACTCAGAACACGATACTATCCAGCCTCCTTGCTGCGAACAACACGACTATAACTGGTGTCTCCGTGCCAGCTCCTGTACTGCCCACCCCAGAACCCGTGGAAGAGATTAAAGTGCCTGAAGGTAAGCTAAAATATTTTTTTTATGTAATAGATCGGCAAACGAGCAGACGGGTTACCTGATGGTAAGCAATCAGCGCCGGAGTTACGAGTGCGTTGCCGACCTTTTGGGGATTAGGGATTTGGAGATTTAGGGATTGAGGAGGGATTGGGGGAGGGGAAGGATTGGGCCTCCGGTAACCTCACCTACAAGGCGAAACACGACGCTGTGGTTGTTTCACGCCGGTTTTCTGTGAGGCCGTGGTATCACTCCTATCGAGCCGACCCATTCGTGCCGAAGCTTGGCTCTCCCACACTTAATAATGTGAAATAGGTCGGCAAACGACCCGACGGATTACCTGATGGTTAGCAGTAGTGTAGTAGTTGGTTTAGAAACCTGGCAAGTACCAATGTCACTTTTTCCGAGTTATATGTACTTTCAATGATTATTTAGACACCACTGACATACGGTGAAGGTAAACATCGTGATGAAACCTGGACTTATAATTTCTAATCATAAGTTTGAAATCGCCAACCCGCAGTTATCGATGCTCTAACCTTCTCCGAATGAGAAGAGGCCTTTATTCAGCAGTGGGCACTTATAGGCTGATGATGATGATGACTGAGTTGGTACCACTAAAATCTCCCCTCACATCCGTATGAAATATGGTTAGATTAATGCCCGGTTTCCGAAAGCCCGATCAATGTTTAAATCAACTAACTAGGTGTCAAATCTCTTGTCAAGTCATCTGATTGGTGTTTATAATTCAGTCAACCAATCAGATGACTTGACAAGAGATTAAATTGATTTTAACATTGATCGGCCTTTCGGAAACCGGGTGTAAGGCAATAGTGTTAGAAAAAAAAAATAAAAAAAAAAAAAGTCGTAGTAAAATGCATTTAAATGTCAATGTTTAAATAATTAAAGTATTATGTCAAGTTAAACCATTATATTATATTCCATAAATATTATTCAATAGCATGTACCTACGTGATTAATCAATACATTCAACTTTAAATTCCTATTTCCAGGTACAGAGCTGGTGGAACTGCTCCTAGACCCCGAGGATTGGTTTCCGACGGAGCCATACAAGATGGTCTTCAGCCGCAAGAAGAATCCGAAATGGAAAAACTTTCCTTACCAGTGTGAACATTGTTTTAAAGTAAGTTTTATTTCTTTTATTTCTTAATCTTGATTTTTACATTTAAAAAAAAAAAAGAAAATCGCTTAAAAATATAAAAAGCAGTATCCCACCGGTTACGGAGGTTTCCAAGCAACCGGTGGTCAGGGCTCCAGAGAAAAGAATCTCCGGACAATGCGCGCCGTGTCTAGAAGTACAACTTTCTGCATCAGGTTCTTGACCCAACCATCTAACGTGAGCCTGCTTAGGTGTCTATCAAGGCTTTTAGCCATGAGACCATTGGCAGACACGACTATCGGCACAATGATTGCTGAGTCTACATCCCACATGTCGACAATCTCATGAGCTAAATCAAGATATTTACTTGCTTTATCTTTTTCAGCTTTCACAAGATTCTCGTCATGTGGGATTGTTATATTAAGTTTTATTATTATTAATTTGTTAATTTATTGATAACTAGCTAGCTTCTCTCGCGCTGCTCGGCTTCATTTGTTCGTAGCGTGATGTTTTATAGCCTATAGCACTCAGGAACATTGTAGCTATCTATCAGTAAAAGAATTTTAGAAATCTGACCAGCGGTGTGATTCTGTAAGACTTTATTATAAACTTCGAATCTGAATCCGCGGTGAGTAGTAGTACACTAGCGCTACACTTGCGAGTTGAACTAAATCGGCATCATTTTGAAAGATAAAGTATGAAAGGACGTTAAAAGTGACATTCTAAAATTTAATTTCCCCGTCACTTCAACGCTCACTTCGCACTCGAACACGATTCGAAATTAAACAAATTTTTTAGAATCGTCGTGCTGCGGTTCCAAAGATTACCCCCTACATACAAACTTACCGTGTGTGTAAGGTTACTGGAGTTCCCTTGAAGCTTGGCTCTCCCACATTGTTGATTATTTACCACATTATGTAACTTATTAATCAAATTTTTTTTCAGGGTTACCGCGTAGCGTCGACCCTTATAACTCACGCGGCAGAGCGCCATGGCTGTGTGCCTAAAGACTTCGCGATCCCTTGCCCGTGCTGCCCCCATGTGTCGACGCGCAGGAAACATCATAAGAAGCATTTGGAAACCCATGAAAGCCGTCGGCATAGGATATTCTGTCTCTATTGTTTACCACCGCGTGAGTATTTGTTTTATGTAGCATGGGCCCAATAGGGCTGATGGTCACCCGGGGTCGCGGGTCAAGCGCAGTACGGTACCGTGGCCTCAGCTTAGAGCAGGAGAAGGAGAAGGAATGGGGTTGGAGTTTAGTCAGTAAGATGTGTGGGTGATCTAAAAAACTACCCAATTATGCATTCATCATTCTTCTTTATTTATTTTAAAACTTGATTTTTACATTTTTAAATATTTTCATAAAACAAAAAAAAAACACTTAAAAATATAAAAAGCAGTATCCCACCGGTTACGGGAGGGTTCCAAACAACCGGTGGTCAGGGTTCCAGAGAAAGGAATCTCCGGACAATGCGCGCCGTGTCTAGAAGTACAGCTTTCTGCATCAGATTCTTGACCCAACCATCTAACGTAAGCCTGCTTAGGTGTTTATCAAGGCTTTTAGCCATGAGACCATTGGCAGACACGACTATCGGCACAATGATTGCTGAGTCTACATCCCACATGTCGACAATCTCATGAGCTAAATCAAGATATTTACTTGCTTTATCTTTTTCAGCTTTCACAAGATTCTCGTCATGTGGAATTGTTATATCAATTATCATTGTGCGACGGCTAGATCGATCTATCATCACAATGTCAGGTTTGTTGGCTACAATTGTCCTATCAGTGATGATAGTTCGATCCCAATACAGTGTGACATCTCCATTCTCGAGAACTGGGTCAGGCAGATACTTATAGTACGGCACTTCAGATTCAACAAGTTTGTATTTTAAAGCAAGTTGCTGGTGGATAATCCTGGCCACGAGGTTGTGTCTATGCAAGTACTCTCCATTAGCTAGGTGAGAACAACCCGAAATTATATGTCGGATGGATTCCCCTGGGCGATGACATGCCCGACAAATGTCAGCCGTACCATCCTTTATAATATATTTTCGATAATTGTTCGTCAGCATAACTTCGTCCATAATTGCACAGACAAAACCTTCTGTTTCACCAAATAAGTTGCCGAAACGTAGCCAGGATACGGACGCTAAAAAGTCTACCTCTGGCCTATGTAAAGCCCTATAGTAGCGTCCGTGCAGCTCTTTGCTTTGCCATACATCCTTACGGTCCTTAGTGCTTAGTACTACAGGTTTTCTCCAATTCTCGTTAGCTAAGGAGAGCGCAGTAAGTCCTTTGTCCACAGCGACAACATCTTGGTGCATCCCCACTTCCATTTTTAAGAAGTAGTTTCGGAGACTGCACACTTCACTGTTGTGGAGGGCTTTGGCATTTAAAAAGCCTCTTCCTCCACATTTCCGTGGAATGTACAGTCTCATTACCGATGATCGTGGGTGATGCATCCGATGCTCAGTCAGCAATGAACGGACTTTTCTATCCAGGGTATCTAATTCCGTTTGAGTCCACTTGAGTATGCCAAAGGAGTACATCAGTACTGGCATGACCCAACCGTTGTAGGCACGCACCTTGTTACCGCCCGATAAAAGACTGTTTAGAACTTTCCTCAGGCGGCCAAAGAAACGTTCCCGCAACGTTTGCTTCATGACGGCAGTATCGATGCCCAACGCTTCTGACATACCCAAGTATTTATAGCTCTCGGATGGCGAAAGGGACCTGAAGTTTGTGGAATCAGATATTTGTGTTCCATCCGATTCCACAATCTCCCCTCTCTTTACATGCATGACTGCACATTTGTCCACACCAAATTCCATCCCAATGGCGTTACTGAACATTTCAGTCAGATTCAGTAACCTCATTAGATGTGAATTGTTGGGGGCAAAGAGCTTTAAGTCATCCATGTAAAGTAGATGGGATACAACTTGTCCCCCTCTCCTTAACCGATATCCTAACCCTGAGCCTTCCAGCAAAGTGCTTAAAGGATTCAGGGCTAAGCAAAACCATAACGGACTCAAACTGTCACCCTGGAATATACCACGCTCTATCTTAATGGGTTCGTCACTCTCAAAGATCTGTCCGCATCCTGGATAGCGAAGGACTGTTTTCCACTGATTCATACATGACCTCAAGAAGGTGCACAGAGTTGGGTCGACGTTGTACAACTCCAACACCCTCATGAGCCACGTATGTGGAATGGAGTCATATGCCTTCTTGTAGTCTATCCAGCATGTGGACAAATTCTTGTGAAACCTACGAACCTGCTGGCAAATGGATATGTCAATGAGGAGAAGCTCCTTGGTACCACGGGACCCATTTCTACATCCATTTTGAGAGCTAGACATGATATTATTGTCTTCAATATGCTTATTAAGTTTTGCTCTCAAAATGGATGTAAGGAGTTTATAAATCGTCGGCAGACACGTAATCGGTCTATAATTTTTAGGTTCCGTGGTGCAACCAGATTTATGGAGCAGGTGGGTAAGTCCTGTTGTAAAGAATTGGGGCAAAGACCCAGACTCCAATGCTGATTGGAATTGAGTCGCCAAGCGACTATGCGAACTCATAAACCATTTAATCCAAAAGTTATGCAGCCCGTCCGGGCCTGGAGCTTTCCAGTTAGCCAACGGGTAGGCTGCATTTGATACGTCTTCGGTGCTAATCTTAATAGAGTTCATTTGTGGTATCAGTTCGCATTTTCCCTTGACCTCCTCAATCCAATCACCCTCGGTGTGATCAACAGGTGCCGACCAAATGCTGCGCCAGAATGTCTTCGTGGCGCTAAAATCTGGTAGGCACGTGTCAGTCCTAGCCTGTTCTTTTTGCTCCCAATTTCTATACACCCACCTTTGATCCCTTTGGAATGCGCGATTCTGGGTATACCGCTCTGCTCGTCTTTTATATCGGCGAATGCGGTTTGCCCATGCATAAATCTTCTGTTTCAGGAAGTCAACACGCTCCGTGATGTGCGATGCGTAATTCTGAGGCGAAATTGCAGTCCCTGAAAACGCTCTCTTCACGAATCGCATTATCCTCGGGCGAGTGTTGCCCTCCCTGAAACAGATCAATTTGGCAATAAGTGTTCTGACCTCGCCAATACGCCGTTCAATCCTGCACTGCCAAGCAGGTACAGCTGGTTTTGGTCGTGTGGCTCTATTGTAGTTGTCTGGTAATTTGACATTTGCCACACGACAAGCCGCTATAGCTGCACAATACAGAATTGAGTGCGTATCAACGAGATCTTTGCTGTTGTCCAAATATGTTGGTAGTTGTGAATCCAGAGCGCACATGATCGCTTTATTCTTTTTATGCATAGGCAAACGAGGCAAACGCGGTTTCAAATATGCGTGTCGATATTCCTGAATCGCACCCTCCAAAGCTCTCCTCAATTCATCACTGCATATGTGAGTACTTACTTCTGTAGTCCTATCATCATTCGGCACATCAGTAGAGTTTGGTTGTAACCCTTCTGTAGTTTGTGATGGCGGAATGATGACGCGGCTCCTTAGTACTTCACTTCGCAGTCGATCAAGTACGACATCTTCCAGCATTCGATTCCGCTGGATGACTCGTACCTGATCCGATAATCGTTGTGCAGATACGTTGACGGATGGTTCGAGCACCTGAAACAGAGCAAGCATTCTGACACGGTACGCAGTCAGGTTATTTCCTCCCTCTGTTGCCCCAAAGTATGCGCGCATAACATTTTCATTTATGGATGTAGTCCATTTCATGCGCGACACACTACCACCGGGCGCTGGGACCCCTCCCGAGGCCGATGGGCCTCGTGGTCCTAAGCTACTCGGTGGCCGACGTTCTCTCCTGCGACGTGGAGGTGGTGGCGACGTTGGCGGGGAGAAGAACTCGTCGCTGGAACTTGATACCACTGCGGTCGTCGGTCGTATCCTTGTATCTGGATCCGGTGCCGACGATGGTGGGGTGGAGCTGGGCGGCGAGGTCGGAGATGGCGGGCGTGTCCTTTGTGATGCAGCTCTTGCTTTAGCTCTCGTCAACATTGTTTAGTAGTGTAGTGTGTAGTATTTTTATTTATATTTATACAGATTTTCTTCTTGACATTTGTCATCACATATGTCATTTTCGTGAATTTATTTATAATTTTTGTATTTTATATTTTTAGGTAAGTACCAAATAGTTAGGTAATTATTTAAACTTTCATAATATGTAAATTTGAGTCCGATAAAACGTAAAAAGTATAAGATCCAAAATAAACAGTATAAGATATTATATTATGTATTAAAAATTTCACAACTTGTTGACAGTCAGTGTTGCCGCATTTATTTTTTTTTTATATTATTATTATTATCATTAACTAGAACCCACCTCTGCTTCTCACGGGTCTAACTATCTCGTTAACAATGAAAGGGTCCGTTTTCCCCAATTTTCCCCTTTACTTTTTTAATATTTTATTTCATAAGAACCTTCTCCTGACAATAATAAATACCAAACAAAAGGATTTGGCAAAATTTGTCCAGCCGTTTTTGATTTATGCGTTTTGCGATTCATTTTTTATTATAGATTTACACCTTTTTCTAATTACAGATGATCCTTCAGAGCCTTTCGTCAAAGAACCACTGAAATATCCCTTCGACAAATACCCTCAATTCTGGTATGCCTCCGAGGAGTCCCTACGGCTTCACAAGAAGAGGAAGCACCCTTACTCCGGCATGTTCAACGTCAGCTGGTTCGGTACCTGGCGAGACACAATACCTAACAGCTAAAACAAGGTATTTTAGTAGCTTTTTAAACCCCCCACACTGGCAACACTCAGTATTTTTTTACACAATTTAGTAGTTTTTATTTTACATACAACTGGCAACTCTTTTTTGTATAGGTTAGTGATTTTTGTGATTATTTTAATTTTAGAACAGTATTGTTTTAATTTTTTTTAAGTAGGTGGTATGTATGTAAGAATTTTTGAGGATGGCAATATAGCGTGGTAGGATTTTTTTGTGATCGTAAGAAAAGAAATTCCAAATCAAGTGATATCATATTATGGTAACATTCTAACATTATTCGTAATTTTGTTGGCAACATTAATTTTAAGATCTTTTACAATATAATTTTAATAAGACTGGCTTTACTATGTATAAGAATTGATACATATTATTATATATTTTATCCTTCAGATTAAAATTTCCAAATTATAATATCCGTCACACACAACTTCGGACAGACTTTCGGTAGGGTCCAATCCCACTTATCCAAAATGAGGAAATTCTACCTTAACACTTAAGAAATTTTAAAACCGATTTTTAATTAATTAAATTATTTATTTCGTTTCTGCTAAACAATTTGCAGATTTAGGGCTGATTTTTCAATAGTCAGTTATCTAAATGTTATCTGAGGAATAAAATTGTTGCTGTACCTGTCTTATACAAACATTGTGACGCGACAGCATCATAATTATTCCCCAGGTAACTTTTATCTAACCATTGAAAAATCATCCCTACATTTATTGATTTTATGATTGATTTTTTAATTTAATTTCTATACACAGTGTCTTAAGTTGAACAAGGATGATATTTAAGGACCCGATTGTGGTCCTCAAATTAAATAAGGTTTTCCATAAGACTCACAGAAAACCGGCGTGAAACAACCACAGCGTTGTGTTTCGCCGTGTGAGTGAGGTTACCGGAGGCCCAATCCTTCCCCTCCCCCAATCCCTTAATCTGCAAATCCCTAATCCCTAAAATGTCGACAACGCACTCGTAACTCCTCCGTTACGGGTGTCCATGGGCGGCACTGATTGCTTACCATCAGGTAATCCGTCTGCTCGTTTGCCGAGCTATATATATATTTCTCCATGCAAAATAATCAATTAGAAGTTTTGATATGTATGGGTAAAAAAATATATTTTTGATATTTCGATATTGGTTCCATGGAAAAAGTTGTTGTAATTGAGAACCAAATTCGGCTCCTTAAATAACTCCTCCGTTAAATTAACACACTGTATAATTCTAACAGACTAATTAAATTATACTAAGGGTGGATTTTTTTTATTATAACTTTCGTGAGACATTCTAAATAACACATCCAGGTAACTTTTATCTAACCATTGAAAAATCAGCTCTTAATAAAAGAAATTCGGTTTTAACTTATTGAATTGATTTTTTATTATTTGAATTGATATTGTTTAACTGTTTGGTTAGACAATATCTCTGAAATGTATATATATAATAAAGGTTTTAGATCTTTTTTCATATAAAGCTTATGAACTTCTGTAAGTTTATTATATTGATTAGATTTGATTGATTGATTTGATATTTTGGACTTGACAGCTTGTATCAACCAGTACTACTACCAGATCTTAAGAACAATAACATAACAAGAAAAAGCCTTTTATTTTTTATTTTTAATATTTTGAACGCCATTTTCGGTAATAGACGAGAAACGAAAAAAATAGCTATTTAGCCAATGTCGAACATAGCCGATCAGAAAACATTATAATTAAGTATATTTGATTTTTCGGCTACAGCAGACGACAGTAGCGATCGAATAGTAAATAACAAAAATCCTAACAATATGTGTTCATTTTTTCACTCTGGCAACTTTTATAACAAACAAAGTAGATTATTAAATAAATGTTGCCAACATTTGGTAGGCCAGTTAATCATAAAATATTATAATAACGTAGTATTATTTTATATGACACTATTTATCCGTATTTTACGATGTTAACTAAGAAACTAATGCATTTACTGTATAATTAATTAGGCAGCTATCATTAGTGTTTAAATTTATTTTAAGATAAATCTACCAGTTTTTGGAGAGCCATGCTTTGGCACGAATGGGTCGGCTCGACCGGAGTGATACCACGGCCTCACAGAAAACCGGCGTGAAACAACCACAGCGTTGTGGCAGCCCAATCCTTCCCCTTCCCCTATATTCAATTCGAACCAGCAGTTCCTGGGTTAATCTCACACAAAGAAAACAAAACTCTCCACTTTTATTAAATACTAGTTCCAACCCGCGGATTGGCACGCGAATAACAGTATATGTATCCCGGGTTTTTAAAAACAGCAGCGTGTGAAGCGATAGCTCGACTGAAATACGCAAATCAAGTAACATTTATAGCAGCAGTGTTGGGCATTAATAAATTAATTTGTCAATTATCTTGTTAATTGATTAAAAAAGTAATTGCAATTAAAAGTATCGGTCAGTTAACGATTATTATTAGATTGAATAAGTTAATTTTCTACCGGCTTTATATTATACAGCGGTATTTTTAATTGTTACTTTTTAATTAAAATTAACAAAACAATTGAAAATTAATTAATTGTTAATTGTAATTTTTCACAATTACAAGTGATAAATTGTTAGTTGTTGTGCTTTCATTTAACAGTTAATTAATTCTTCTTGCAATTAAAATTTACCCAACACTGTTTATAGCCTACTAGCTATTCTCGCGCGGTTTTATCCGTTGCTTGGTTCTATTTAATCCTAGCGTGATGTTTTATAGCCTATAGCACTCAGGAACATTGTAGCTATCTATCAGTGAAAGAATTTTGGCGATCTGACCAGCGCGAGCGGTTCCAAAGATTACCCCCTACATACAAACTTACAAATATTACTTCTTTATAATATCATCATCATCATCAGCCTATAAGTGCCCACTGCTGAGCAAAGGCCTCTTCTCATACGGAGAAAGCTCGATCATTAATCACCACGCTTGCTCGATTTCAAACTTATAATTAGAAATTATAAGTCCAGGTTTCCTCACGATGTTTACTTCACCGCATGTCAATGGTGTCTAAATAATCATAGAAAGTACATATAACTCGGAGTTACATTGGTACTTGCCAGGTTTCGAACCCTTCTGCATGAGAAGCGGGCACCGTAACCTCGGGGCTACCACGACAATTTCTTTATTTAAGTATGGATATTTTTAACTGGTAGATTTATCTTAGAATAAAAATAATTTAGTGCCTTCTAAGAATGGCTATGGTAACTGTTAGTTTAAATTTGTTTAAAGTTCATTTAAGTAATATTAAAACGCCTTTTGCCGGAAGGTATAGTCAGAGAGATCTACACAATAGTCTATAGATTTAGGTAATTAACTTGTTCTTAACAATCTTGGCATGTCTTTTTCCTTTGCCCTCGACTTTGTTCGCGTGTAACTGACTTACTGCAGATTTTTGGTTAAAAAACTATCCTATGTCCTTTCTCGAGTTCCAAACTATGTCTGTACCAAATTTCACACGAATAGGGTTAGTAGTTGAGGCGTGAAGAAAAGACAGACAGACAGAGTTACTTTCGCATTTTTTTAAATTAAACGTTACCCCACATTAGGATTTTCTCCTGTGTCGTGGGTGCGTTTACAAACATACTATTTCACATACACATCACACCCAGACCCGGAACAACAATTTGTGGATCACACAAAGAGTTGTTCCGTGCGGGAATCGAACCCGCGAACCGTTGTACGGCAACCAGTGGCCCAGCCACCGCACCAAACGTGCAGGCATTTTCAATATTAGTTTGGATAGTCTTAAAATTGTATTTAAAAACGTTTACAATCAGCTATTTACGAAAATCCATGTTAGCTAATAAACTGAATTTAAATAATCTCTGTATGTACTTTATACGAGCTCTTTAATATAAAAAGACATACCAACATTGTTTACCTTTAGTTAACCACCTAAATCTATAGGCCATTATTCTTCAGATTAAATATCTAGGCAGAAAAACTTTAGAATAGTCTTCCGGCAGTGGTATTGCTAAACCGATACGACCTTCAAACCTTCAAGAAACGAGCGTACTCTTTCTTAAAAGGCCGGCAACGCGCCTGTGACTCCTCTGGTGTTTCACGTGTCCATGGGCGACACCGATTGCTTACCATCAGGTGATCCGTCTGCTCGTTTGCCTCCTTATAAAAAGAGACTCAGTTTCAGTCAACGTGGTGAGATTCTTAAGCTAATATAAGAATGAAATAGCGTGACTAGAGAATCGAACCTGTATCCTAACGATTACAACACCAGCTCGTGTTTTAACAATACGCAATAAAAGTAATTGTAACGAGATTCTCTTTATATGTATAACTAGCTACTCTCGAGCGGTTTCACCCGGTGCTCGGCTTCATTTAATCGTAGCGTGATGTTTTATAGCCTATAGCACCAAGGAACATTGTAGCTATCTATCAGTGAAGAATTTTGACAATCCGACCAGCGGTTCCAAATATAAGTAGATATAAACTTACAAACTTAAAAATTTTACCTCTGTATAATATTAGTATAGATAATTGTATTAGCATTGTCAAAATGCCTAACTCGGTAATCGAACTTGAAAACATACACAATCAAGTGTTTGAACCCCTCCTTACCTTCTTCCGGCATAATAAAAAGGCCCTTTGATATTGATTTTGACGTTTGACAATCAAAAAAACTTAGATGAACTATAAACAAAGTATGGGTCTTACAACCCAATCCGCCTGTCCACCCTTTCTTAGTGTAAGTCGCTATAGTGCACCAATGTAAAATGGCATGTATTTTTATATAAATATAGACATCCTAGAATATCTAAATTAATGAGGAAAATAACAAAAAAAAAACAAACAGAAATAGGTACTATAATAATATTATGTACAAAAAAATATTCCTAGTATTTTTGTAGCTAAACAGTTAATTCGTCAGCGTATGAACATTTATTGTAACGCAATAGTCTCTCAATGACGTCACGTAGTCTCACATTGACAAGACAGTAGTCTCACGGTGACATTTCTTTTAAACTACAAGTCTTTCTATCACAATTATCACTTCATTTGTCTTATATTGACATCACAGCCTGTCAAGGATGTCACAAAAGCATCGCCAAAGTCTCGCTATGATATCATAATTGTCACATTGGTATTTCACTGACATCACAATAATCTAGTCTCACAGTGACAATTTACACTAGAAGTCCTTTAATCACAATTTTTTACTCATAGATATCCATTACTTTTACAGTGACATCACAGTATTCTAAGGACGTCACAAAAATATCACTACAATTAATCTGTGATATCTTAGATGCACCATAGTCACCTACGGACATCACAGAAATCTTACAGTGACATCACAATAGTCTTAAAAACATTAAGCTATGGCGTTTAAAGACATGCAATAATCACACAATGGGCTTTTATTGAACAATGACAACGTAACAGTCTCACAGTGACACCAAAATAGTCTCACAGTGACACCAAAACAGTCTCACATTGACTACACAGCAGTCTCAAAAGTCTTTTAGAGACAGACTAGATATAAATTTTTATACGCTGATAATTAACTCAACGCATTTATTAGCGTAGACGGTATAAGCACATTTAGGTCGATTCGGGACTTAAGGTTTC